AAGAAAATGATCAAAGATTCAAAAATAATTCAAAAAAATAGATGCCCACCATGTGTTATGTGTCCTAGTTGTTAGGAAATTAACAAACATGAATTTTGAAATTTTTTTGCAAAAGGCCGCCGTGTTTCGGTAAAATGGCTGTAACTTTTGCATACGACCTCTGATGAAAAAGTTTTTTATATGAAAAATCATCTACTTAAAAAGTTACATCTGAATTCAACTAGGGGAACCCGTTGAAGATTTTTAGAATCCCCAAAAACCTAATAGAATAAAAGATACGAGGCTTTTAAGATCTGAAGGCAAAAAAATCGAAAAAAATGCAAAAAGTAAATAAATTAGCAATGGCGCACTAGTGCATGGTGCGCCACTGCTATTTTCCCGCCTTCAAGTTAGCAATGGCGCACCTTATGAATAATGCGCCACTACTATTTTCCCGCCTTCACAATTCAAAAAAATAAAAAAATTAGCAATGCACCGGTGCGCCACTGCTAAGTTGGGACAGAAGTTTAAAAGGGCCGGCCAACCACTTATCCCTTCATTCTTCTCCTCCTCTCCTCTCTCCTCCTCTCCTCCACTCCATCTCCTACTCTCCGGCGACCTCCTCTTCCTCCGGTGACCTCCTCCTCACGGTGCTCCTCCTCCGGCGACCTCCTCCTCCCTCCTCTCCTCCTCACGGTGCTCCTCCTCCCTCTCCTGCTCACTGTCCTCCTCCTCCTCTCCGGCGACCTCCTCCTCCCTCCTCTCCTGATCCTCACGATCTCTCCTCCCTCCTCTCCTCCTCACGGTCTCTCCTCCCTCCTCCTCTACTTCCGGCCACATGTGGAGCTCCCCCGGCACAAAGAACGTACCAGATCCAGGTTGAGAACGAAATTTGAAAAAAAATCAAGCAAAAAAACGAGCAAAAAACAAGCCAAAAAATGAGCCAGATCTAGATCCAGATCCAGATTCAAAATTCAAAAATAGCAATGGCGCACGGTGGGGGTTAGACGGTGCGCCACTACTATTTTCCCGCCTTCAAAATTCAAAAAAAAAGTTACCAGTGACGCACCTGTAGCAATAGTAATGGCGCACTACAAGGTGCGTCACTGTTACCCGCAATACTAATGGCGCACCAGAGGTGCGCCATTAGTATTTGTTACTAGTGGCGTGGTAATAGTGGCGCACCTATAGTGCGCCATTAATGGCAAAAATAGGTGCGCCATTAGCAGTCCTTTTTCTAATAGTGACATCATCATCGAAGCAGCCATGTCCGTCCTCACAACAGTGTCGCGAATTTTTGTCGAAAAAGACCACCCATCGAATCAAATTGCCAGAAAAGACCACCTCTGAATACAAATGACAAAAAGACCAGTTGCACCATGGCGGCAGGCGCGCCAGCCAACACATGGCACATGTTGCCACACGCGCAGGCGGCCTGGGGACCTGCCACCACATGTTGTGGCGGCGTGCGGTTTGCTTTATTTTATCAAGTGATAGACGGGACTGTGCATTTCATGTATTCTCTCGTTCATCCAAAATAATAAGGTGTGCATCATGGGTGTGCCCTCGTGCTGTCCACATAGGATTAACTATGCGACAAAATGTTCGCTTTGAGAGGAGAAAGAGAAACTAACAGAGAAAGGGATTGGCCGGGAAAGAAAGAGAGAGCTTCCCCAGATGCCGTCGTCCCCTGCGCCCACATTCTCCTCTTCCTCACGCGGCCATTTCTCTCTCTTCCTGCTGCATCCTATTTCTTCTCGTCCTCCCACTCCCAGCTAGGGTTGCCGCCGCCGCCCCCCATCTATGAATCCAGTTCCGCTGAGGTGGCTCGAAGGGGCCTAAGGTCAATGGCGCCGAGGAGGAGGCAGAGCGGCAGGAGCGGGTTGGCCACGGAGATGGCCGTCCGCGGCGTCGTCCGCAGCAGAGAGAAGGGGAGGGGAGGACGAGATGAAGAGAGGATCAGAGGAGGGAGAGGTAGAAGGCGAACCCATAGAGAAGCGCCACCGGGAGCTCATCTGGCCGGGAATTAGGTTGGCCGAGCCGAGAAGATTCGAGCTCAGCACGCGGCGGCCATGGAGGAGGTGCACGGCCAGGAGATTCCCGTCGACGACGAGGACGTCGACATGGGCGCCGGGGCCGCCAAGGTTCGTGATGCGCCAGTCGATGCCGCGTCTCGCTCGGCCCCTCTCCTCCTCGTCGCCGGTGTCGTCGCCGTCTTTGTTCGGCTAAGGTGACGGCGGGGGACGGTACCAGCAGCGCGCCGAGCCCGCCGGTGCTCCCTCTGCTCGGGCACCTGCACGGCTGCACCTGCTCAAGAAGCCGCTGCATAGCTCGCTGTCCGCGCTCGCCGGGGTGCCGCCGCTCCTGTCGCTGCGTCTGGGCGCGCGGCGGGCGCTGGTCGTGTCCACATACGCGGCGGCCGAGGAGGCTTCACGGCGCACGACGCCGCGCTGGCGGGCCGGCTGTGGATGCTCCCTGCGGAGCACCTAGGGTGATTTACGGGCGGACCACCGTCGTGTGGGCCTCCCACGGGGGCCACTGGCGCGGCCTACGCCGGTTTCTCTCCGTCGTGCTCTTCTCGACCTCCCGCCTCACAGCGCTCGCCGGTGACCGCCGCGCCGGGGTCGCGTCCCTCGTCCAGAACCTGCTCCACCTCCACGACGCCAGCGCATGCACCGGGGGTGGGATTGTTACCCTCCGGCCCAGGCTCTTCGAGTTGGTGCTTAACGTGATGACTTGCCGACGGCGTGCGTAGGATCCAAGAGATCGTCGAGGAGACATTTGCAGTGAGCGGCGCGCCCAGCATCGGGGACTTCTTCCCGGCGCTTCGCTGGGTCGACCGTCTCCGCATGCGGCGCTTGTAAACCTTCAGACAAGGCATGACGCGTTCGTCGGTGCCCTTATCGATGGTCATCGATGAACGCGCAATGCCGGTGGCCGAGACGTGGAGAAGAAGGGCGCAATCGCCGTGCTCTTGGAGCACCAAGAAACCGATCCCGGGTATTACACTGACACCGTCGTCAAAGGCATCGTCTTGGCGAGTACTAGCATATTTTGCAAAGAGCATTGCTACACAGACGACATTCCTTGCACGATTTATGAACGACAGAGCCAGTTGAGCCTTTAATCACATCTGATGCGTGGATTTGCACCGTTGGATCATCAGTCGTGTAAGCATCGTCCAAGGACTGTCATTCGTCAAGTAGTTTCATTTTGCAAAACTGCCTGCGTGACACCAGCATCATTTTGGCGATCTGTGAGAGTGAGAGTGTGAGTCTGTGACAACATGGTTGCTATGCCTATGCTGACATTCAGGTACTGCTCATTGCCGGCACCGACACATCGGCGCTGACCACGGAGTGGGCGATGGCGCTGCTTGTGAAGCACCCAGAGGTGACGCGGAAGATGAGGGCTGAGATAGACGCCAACGTCGGCATGGGCCGACTGGTTGAGGAGTCGGACATCACCAACCTACCTTACCTGCAGTGCGTTGTCAAGGAGACCCTTCGGCTGTGCCCCGTCGGCCCAATCATCCCAGCGCACGAGGCCATGTAGGACTGCACGGTGGGTGGCTTTCATGTCCAGCGCAGCACGATGATTCTCGTGAGTGGATGGGCGATCCACCGGGATGTCAATATCTGGGAACGAGTTCCGGCCGGAGCGGTTCTTGGAAAGAGACACGGTCACCACGCCCATGCTGCCGTTCGGGCTTGGTCGGAGGCGATGCCCGGGGAAGGGCTGGCGATGCGCCTTGTCAGCTTGACTGTGGCAGCACTCGTGCAGTGCTTTGAGTGGGATGTTGGTGAAGGCGACACCATCGACATGGCCGAAGGTGGTGGGCTGACAATGCCAATGGCTGCCGCCCCGGGAGTTTGTCAAGAGCGTGCTCTCTGCTTCCATTTGATGGGCTGCGGTCTGCGGTCTGCGGAGAGGTTCCTATAGAAATAGAAGAAGCTGGATTGAAATTGTGTAGCAATGGCTCTTTCCCTTTTCTCCTTTCTGTTTCTCGGAACAATGTATTTCCGTTCATTTGCAATGGAAAGGGGTCATGCCCGGTTTGAAAAAAAAAAAGCAATGGCACACATGTACTGGTGCAGCAAGGTTCCTTTAGATGATATCCGAACATTACAAGTCCATATTGGATGATATTGAACATTACAAACCATTTTTTCCACTGAATCAGTGACGGGCAACAGGCCAAAAACAGTTCGATATGACAAGTAATGAAGTAAGTTTATACAGAGTACCTTGCATTTCTGTGTGTAAAATAGAAACAGATGAAAATTACCCAAGGAAACGCCAGCAAAATCGACAATCAAAATTTGCAAAGTCGGTAAGAATTACAACCCAATGCAACAATCAAATTTTACAAAAGCGGTATAATGCAAGGTGAGAAATGATCAAGGTCATACAGAACTTGAGTTTCTAGCAGCAGAAAAATCTTCTGATTCAGAGATCGAGAAATGCTCTTATGATTCAGAGATCGAGAAATGCTTTGATGGTTAACATGAGTGCTTTGATTCAGAAATTAACGCTCTTTTATTGACTGGTGATTTCTGGATTTAGACACAACAAATATACCTCTGGCCTCGATAACACTACAATACACACGATCAATATGAAAAAGAAAACACAAGGAACAAGTTGAGGCGAACGGCAACTGTTTGACTTACTCGCAAGCAGATATCTTCGCTTGTAAGAATACATTCTTTACGTGTGTTGCTTTTGCACATCTCTATCTTAAAATTTTAGATACTTGCAAATATGCATGTACTTTGAGCATGATGGAATAACACCCCTGGTACAAACAAGAAAGTGATGAGGTGCTTTTCCAACCTGGCACTGCCTCAACTTCCTCTTAGGCGACGCCACCAAGTGGCGCCCCAACTACTAGTCAACTCATCATTCTCTGCATGACTGCATGCATCAGGAAGAAAGAGGCCACATACAGAAAATTATGGCAGCACGGCCTGCCGCCTGGATTGGTGGTGGCAGGGCCCATCAAATGGTCATCGTTCCGTTGCACGGGCTGCCCTCATCCAAATTTCTGTAATTCACAAGGTGCCGCCAACGCCCGTGGCGGCAGGTGCCACGTGTCGGCTGGCACGCCTGCCGCAGCTGGTCTTTTCTGTCATTTGTGTTCAAAGGTGGTGTTTTCTGGCAATTTGATTGAGCAGGTGGTCCTTTTAAACAAAAATTCTAGTGTTGCGTCCATGAAACACGTCATTGTGGCATCGTCGAAGTAGCCGAGCCTCCGTAGCATCACCGCGGGTATCGAAGCATGACGTCACAGCATCGTCACGACTGTTCGAAGCACGCCGTCGTAGCATGTCATGGCCGTCGAAGCATGCCATCTCAGCAGCATTGCAGCTGTGGGAGCACACCACGGGCATTCAAAGCATGTCGTCATGCCATTGCCACGACCGCTACAACACGCCCCGTAGCATCACCACGGCTGTTGAAGCATGCCTCCGCGGCATTGTCATAGCCGTCGAAGCGCGCCATGGGTGTTCGAAGCATGACGTTGCGCTGATGCCACGTCCGTCACAACATGCCTCATAGCATCTCCGTGGCTGTCAAAGCATGTCGTCGTGGCATCGTCACGGGTATTCGAAGCATGTCATTGCGCTGATACCACGGTTGTCAGAACATACCTCATAGCATCACCGCTGCTGTCGAAGCATGCCATCGTAGCCTGCCATGGGTGTTCGAAGCATGTCATTGCGCTAATGCCATGACCGTCAGAACACGGCTTATAGCATCGCCGCGGCCGTCACAACATGCATCGTAGCATCGCCCCGGTTGTTGAAGCAAGCCGTCGCAACATCCTCGAAGAAGTCGGGATGCCGTCCCAGCACATTACGGGCGTTGGTAGCATGTCGACGTGCCATCGCCGTAGCATGGCTCGTAGCATCACCACAACCTCTGAAGCAGTTGGGTGTCACAAAGACCGCCGTTGAGCGTCGCAGCAGTGCATCATCGTCTCGGCTTATAGTGCGTCATGTCTTTGAAGCAGCAGCTCATGTTGCTAATGGTGGTTGTCGTCATTTCACTTCCAAAGCCGCAAACTGCTGCATGTTGTTGTAGCGCTGATGCAAGGGCGGAACATCCCAACAATTGACGACGTGGCTGCTGCGTTGGTGGCATGGGATGCAGACTGCCTGCTCAAGACGGTCAGAACCGGGGTTGCCGCCATCGGCTGATGGCATGGCGCTCGAGCAGGCTATAGTCCGTGTGTGAGAGCAGTGCTCGAGCACGCCCACGAGTGAAGCTCGGGGCAGCCGGGCAGGGCACAACACAACGGCGTGAGGTCTACGTCACACAGGACAGAACAGGACACAGCCACCCGGCTTCGCAGCAGACGAGAAGGACAAGGCGCTGTAAAGCTTGAAACAGGCACTGAGGACATGGAACACCAAGCTTAACCCATGCCTCAGTTGACCCGGCTTCACTCGGTGTAAGTCGAAACATGGTGTGTATGCACGAGGGTCGGCCACATCTCGATTCATGGTCGGAGTGTAATGTGGACGATCTGGTGATCACTAGGTGCGACTCAGGTGATCTCTACAGCTTCAAACAAAAGATGAAGAAGCTTCTACCTTGGGATCGTGGGGTCCGACAGAATGCTGATGGGATCATGATATCTCAGTCGGCCTACACCCAGTAGAAGCGAGCTGCTGGACAAGTCCAACATGGCCGGGTTCAAACCTTGGAACCTTGGAACTAACGATGAATGCTATCGATCGAGTATCGCATCATCATCATCATAGGGGAGGGAGCCTGCCTGTGGTACTTGGTGCACACCAGACTTGACCTGACCTGACCTGGCGTATTCACTCGGTTTTGTCTGGTGGTTCCGACTGAAGAGTACCTTGCGGCGGTCACAACATCCCCGACACGACTTCACTCGATCGGTTGCAAGTTTGGGAGATACACCAGGACACCACACCTAGTCGATCGGCTACCATGTCCGACACACTCTTCTTCTTCGGAAGCAACCATGTGGCTTGGCAGTCCTAGCTAGAAGCACAAGCTCGTGGCTCTCTCCAGCTGTGTGTCAGAGTATGTTGCTGCTGCCTGGCAGTGGCAGGGGATCTTGCTAAAAGACCGTCGACCAAGCAAAGCAAAGGGTCTTGTCCTCAAGGTGGACAACAACTCAAGACAATTTCACTTGCCAAGAACCTCGTCTTCCATGACCGAGCAAAGCACATTGAGCTGAAGCATCACTTCATTGGGGACTGCGTGGGGACCAAGAAGAAAGAGTTGCAATTGCTAGCCACTGAACATCAGCTCGCCGACATGTTCATAAAGTCACTCGGTCTTGTGCGGCTTCAAAAGCGACATACATATGCATGGTGGAGATCGACCCGTGAGCGCAGTGGAAAACCACAGCGCACGCGAGAGCTGACAGCCGTGTGAACATGAATTGTTTCTTTACAAATACTAGTGGTTTTATTGTCTGAAGAAGAGTTGATGAAAATATACTCCCTCTGTTTGTAAACATAAGTCTTTCTAGATATTTCAATACAAACTACATATAGATGTATGTAGACATATTTTAGAGTATAGATTTACTCATTTTGCTTCGTATGTAATCAATTGTTGAAATCTTTAAAAAAAACTTATACTATTTAGGAACGGAGGGAAGCTAATGTCGCTGTAGAGTTGTCATGAACAAGCGTGGAAGCACATGGTAATGCGTGAGACACCTGCGGTGTAAGGCAAATACTGTATTATTCCAAAGCAGGAGGAGAGATATCATTCATGCTGGCTGGTCTAGTTCATGTAATGTCAGACAAAAAGGGTCCATCCTAGCTGTGATTCTTCACTGAAACACCACAGGTCACACAGGCAATAAGTTGAGAGTGTTTTTTGTGTTATTCAGAACCTAAACCCATCCCGACCCCAGCAGAGGTCGACGACGACACGTACCTCGGATCGGTTGCTTGATTGCTAATACAAAGTTAGTATAAAGTTGGGCATCTATTCTCGAACAAAGGGAGTAGCTAATAACTGCCGCCATGACTTGCAATCGTACACACACTGTGTGGAGTGAACCACTCCACTAGCGTGCGTACGATCGCAAGTCTGAGGCGACCACACCACTCCACTCCACAATGACCGTAGACAACATCCTCTTATACTATGAAGGAAGGAAGGAGGAGGAGGAGGCTGAGAGAGAGCACGCACAAACGTCTTGAATCGACCTTGTCTCGCACCGCCGTGCCTCACATGTAGCTACACTGCACTGCATTTAGCCATCATTGATAACATGTGATGGCCTTCACGGTTAGCTGCACTGCATCTGACGCCCTGGCCTCGCGCTCGACCAACTCACCGTACGTACGTGTCCTGCTTAAACGACATCAAGGAGTGGACTAGTTTACATACAGGTTTTGGGTGTTGGGAGGGACACTGACAAGGTGAGCTTGAGGAAACAGGAAACTGTACAGCTTGAGGAATCTGATGATTCATTCAGTTCTCTTTTGGTTCATAGGATAGGATTATCGTAGGAATAGAAATTTTGTAGGAAATGAGATGACATGTATCTCAAA